TTTTTTTAATTTTTTTTTTTCCAACGTTTATTTATTTTTGGGACAGAGACAGAGCATGAACGGGGGAGGGGCAGAGAGAGAGGGAGACACAGAATCGGAAACAGGCTCCAGGCTCTGAGCCATCAGCCCAGAGCCCGACGCGGGGCTCGAACTCACGGACCGCGAGATCATGACCTGGCAGAAGTCCGACGCTTAACCGACTGCGCCACCCAGGCGCCCCAAAAATGGAACCACTTCTAAAGTTTCAGCATGAATTTATATTTACCTTCGCAAGCAAGAACTATTTTGCTATGGCTTTTATATTTCAACTTTAAGCACCTTAATAGAAATAAAACTGTACTTTCGAAGTCTTCTAAATCTGTTCCAAACACTATCAGGGGGAAAACATGTATTTTTACCCTTATAATCAAGGTGGGCTACTCTTTGGTGTTCTTTTCATCATCTCCTATTTTCCCCATATGGCTAGGCAGTAGTATTCTGTCATTCTTAAAAATCTATGCAAGCAGGCATGTTTTCAGTTATGCACAATGTCCACTGAATAATCAGCTTCTCCACTCATCTCATTAGTGGAAACTGCAGGGAAATAACCTGTCTGTGGCAGATTTGATCTCCAGTGCTCTGACAATGGCCAGAGCAATATATTTCCCACCCCACTTGATCTTCTCATAATGTTCTGTCTTCCAGTGGTGGCAGTCTACACTCCCTCCCCCTGAACTCAGACACGTCTTTGTAACTGCTTTGACTAACAGAATGTGGTGGAAATGAGTCTGTCATATAAGGCGCAATATGGCTTCCGCCTGCCTCTGTCTCGGTCTGTCTGCCCTTGCCTTTGGAACCCAGCTGCCATGGTGTGAGGAAGTTCAAACCATGTGGAGAGACCACACAGAAAAAATCCAACTGACAGCCTCAGCTAAGTTTCCAGCTAGCAGCCGATATCAACCACCAGGCCAGTCTTCAGATCATAGCTGCTTACAGAACTTTCTGTGATCGTGGAAATTTTCAGTGTTTGAGCTAATATGGCAACTGACTACCACACGAGGCTACTGAGCAATTGTAATGTAGCTGATTTGAATGAGGAGGTGGATTTTAAATTTTATTTAATTTTAGTTAATTTAAATTTAAATAACTACATGTGGCTAATGGCTGTCACGTGGAGCCGTATAGCTTCATCTGGTCGTAGCTCTCAGCCTTTGAAACTTCCAGCTGAAGCAAAAGACATCATGGAGGCACAAGCCATCCCCATGGTGCCCTCCCCATATTCCTAATTCTCATAAGCCCCGAGGAATAATAATTATTGTTGGTTTAAGCCACTCAGTTTGGGAGTGGCTTGTTACAGAGTAATCAGTAATGAATATACCACTTCTACTGTTTTGTTCTCTTGTTTTTTGTTTTCCCCAGTAAATAAAAGTGTACAAGTCTTTCCCATCTTTTGAAAGCCCTCTAGTTATGAGTAGGTGTCTCTGATCTTCACAGAGGCAGGTTTCTTGAATGAGTCATCTACACTTACCATTCTTGTTCACAGCTTATTCACTGCTCACCACCCATTAGGCTCTGGATGCAAACGAGGTCACAGTAACATCGGTTCCTGCTATTTCTCCCATTTCGAAAATGCAGGACTTCCGTAGTCCACTCTATCTCCATGTTGTCTCCTATTCATTTCTGAGCAATGCCCACCCTGGCAGAAAAAGCCAGAAAAGGGGGTCCTCTTGGCCCAGAGGGGTGCCTGGGTGGCTCAGTCGGTTGAGCAGCCGCCTTCAGCTCACGTCATGATCTCATGGTTAATGGGTTCGAGACCCACGTTGGGCTCTGGGCTGCTAGCTTGGAGCCTGGAGCCTGCTTCAGATTCTGTGTCTCCCTCTCTCTACCCCTCCCCTGTTCACGCTCTGTCTGTCTCTCTCTCTCTCTCTCTCAAAACTGAATAAACGTTAAAGAAAAAAAAAATGGCAAAGCCACTTTTTTTTGGGGGGGGATGGACTATGCATGGCCCTCACTGAAATGTGAATGGCCTGTCTGACCCTTGCTGTGGTCCAAAGGTTGCCATGAAAACAACTCTTTCAGCTGGGGTCTTTGACTCCTTTTCTCTACGGGGTTCAGAACCAATCATGGGGTATGACTGGGCCAAGAAACAAAGCAGTTCTTTCCATGTACACCTTCTGTCCTTCCTCTGTACACATCTCAGCATCAACATGCAAACCTCTCTTCCACAATCCCCGTTTTCCCTTCCTGAAACCAGCCTGCCCACCAGCTCTTAAATGTCATCTGGGGATCCCAAAGAAACTTTATGATAGCCAAGTAAGTGCAACTCCCAAATGCTATTTTTGCCCAGATTAGCCAGACATCTGGGTGGGGAGTGTGAGTTAAGGTTTCGATTTCCTAGAACATACTACCTCTATTACAAAAGTGAGGAAATATTTCCATAACCTCAGTTCTCTAGAAGTGGGATAGGTCGCCTTCTCTCTCCATTGGACACGAGTTCATCCCTTGGGAGGCTGACAAAAATGTGTCCTTGTGCTCTGAAAGTTGTGTGTATGTTTGTGTGTGTGTGTGTATTTTAATAGTCTCAGAAGGTCTGAAACATGGCAAACCACGTTGTATCCAAATACATCCAAAGGTTAAATAAGGTACATCAAGATTTGACTATTTGCAGTTCACACTGGGAATGCATAGTTCAATATGTGATATATTCCAGTCCAGGAAGAAAGAATCAATATATAATGAAGGGTTCTAATTTGTTTGCAATATCCCAAATATTACTGATTATGTTGTCGTATTACTGTAGTAAAAGTATTACTAATTATTGTAACTGAATCCACATAAACCATGTCACATACTTCTTCTCCCCCTACTAATCAGCTTTGGAACAGTAAATTAATAAATGCTTTGGTCGCTAATCAAGTTATAAGCTTTCACATTTTTGGTCTAGGTTGAAAAAACTCAGTGGTATTAAATAGAATTTTGCAAGAGAAAAGGAAATACTATTTTTCCCAAGATGACATTCTTGGATATCACTGTCAAAATATTGTCTGATAGGAAAAAATTACAAGAATGATTAAACTTCTTGTGTATTTAATGGATGTTTCTTTTTTAGCATTAACTAGCCTAAGTCCTTCTCAAAATCTTGTGAAGTAGATCAATTTTCTTTTAATTTGAATAAACATACAATCCTCCAGAATTATACTGATGTTTATTAAAATTCAACATTCCAAAGAAAATAGTTTAAGAAATATTATGGTTAATTTTACCTTCACAATCTAATGTATCTGGGTTTTTCTGGGTCTTCCAATATAGATGTGGTATAGTGGAAATTGTATTTAGAACACAAATTTGATAGTTCAAGAAACTGGCCAATTAGAATTTTTAATCTCTAACTTGGATACTGACTCTTCTATGCAACAAAGCTAAAAGGAATTCCCTTTGCTGGTTTCTCACTTGGGATATCTGGGTGTGGTTTATTTTCTTCTCTGACTGAAACAAAGATATTCAGGAAAATCTCTTACATCTAAAATTCTTTGTCTCACAAACAAGCTTAAGGAGGGAAAAAAAAAAAAAAAAAAAAAAAAAAAAAAAAAAAAAAAAAAAAAAAACCACAGTAGATCAAGTCTGCCTTAATCATTTGCTTATACTGGTGCATATATTGGATTTTTTCCAGTTTCCCAAAAATAAAGCCACAGGAAAGACATACGCAGTGACATATTTAAGCTACTGGCTCACACACATTCTAAGGGCTGAAAGTATATAAAAGAAATGAAGGCAGAAGAAAAACAGCAGTTATGAAATGTAACAAGGTTTCTTATTCTTTATTAGTTCAAAGGAAGCTAGAACCTGATAACAATATGCCACATATGGTTCAGAACCAAACAAAGCCTGCTTAGTTATTTCTTTTGCATTTTATCCTTTTAGGAATGAGAAAAAACAGTTCTATTGGCACTCGAGTTTATTTTCAATTAGAATCCCCATAAATTAGAAAACATCTCATAAAACAATGGGAATGGAAAAAAAACGTTACTGAGAAAAAACCTTAAGTGTGCTTGTTTTCTGTAATGCCATGGGTCATTTGATAAGTCTTATGAGACCACTCCAAAAAAAAAAATTCAACCTCTGTGTTCATGTTGATGATAATGTATAATAGCGTCTTGTCCTTTAATGCAAATAAGAGGAAAAACTCATACTTAGTTTCGAGAATTCAGCCCCTTCCCCCCCCCCCAATTCTGCTATTTACTCATGTCCCACATCAATAAAAGGATGCAGCTTAGAAATGAGAGCCTTGCTGTCATTGTATTTTTTCTAATTAAAATTCAGAGTATTAAACACAGTTGAGTACATCCATGCATACATGACATACCGTTATCACATACCGGAAGCTCCGATCAAGAGCACTGAGCAAAGACTCATTTCATAACATCATTAAGATTCATTATACGCTACAGTTCAAAAAGGGTTTGTCAAAGCAAATAGTAATGGCCTGCCAGAAACGCACAAACAAATTTATATTAAATTGTCCTTTCCCTCCTTTTTAAAGGTTGGGAATCTAGTTGCATTCCCAGTATATGGGTTCAGAGCTTAACTTAAAAGGTTTTCAGTTTTCAGATTGCAAAACATTACCAAAATGGAATATTGAAAAAGAATTAGGTGAAAAATATTTGAGTAACTAGGTGGGGGTATAGTAATCAAGCATAATGACTGCATTGAAATAAAAAAAAAAAGGGAAAGTTCAGGAGTGTGAAGGTAGATAGAACTCATGAGTCACAGCACGGAATATTTAATTTAGAACAAGTCAAATAAAAGCATTGCTTTTTTTTTTCTTAAGAACCTTTGGTACTCTGTGTTATACCTCTGAAAAGAAAGCTCTCTCATTAAAACATCTTTTTTTTTTTTTTTTTTTTTTTTGTATATCCTGCTGAGTGAAGGTGCCTGGGGAGACAAACTTCACATGCTGGCTTTCTGACTGTAGTCCGTAAGTATGATGTTATCCGGAGATTCGACGGTGAGAATTTACTTCTTTAGACTCGATACTTTTCTTTGCCGTGTTCATTGATCACACATATGTGCTGAAACAATCAAGGATTTAAATGCATCGGTTTCTTAAAATATGAGGTGCAGAAAATGTAATGCAGTGATAACAGAATGTCATCTTGTAATTGGTTATTTTTCATTCAAATATATGTGTCCATTTACGTGTATGTATGTGTGTGCGTATACACACATATATGCTATGGGTGTGTATACACACACATATATACACATACATATATATGTACATATATGTATATATGTACATATGTAAAAGAGACCCATTTGAATGCTTGGAAAAGTTTCCTCATTGTTCTGGTTTTTGAGCCCTATTCTGAACATGGCTCCCCAGGTCTATAACAACCAGAAATGCTGGAGGAGTGGTATGGTTAGCCATGGTAGAGATAGAAGTCTCCACCTGGTCAAATTACAGCCTCCAGGGAGAATGGAGAAACAGCCATGGTAAATACAACATTGACTCTTACTTGATCCTTTTTAGGTAACAAGAAATGTGTCAGGAATATTTTGATTGCAAGGAATAGAGGGGGGATCGGACGAATTAAGCAAAAAAAAAGGGGGGGGATTTATTGGTAGGATAAGGAGGTAGCTCACAGAATCAAAGGAAGAGCTAAGCAATGATGCAACTGGAAGGAGGGAGCAGGGTAACTCCTGACTCCAGCCCATGGTGCTTGTGGATATGCTCTCTGGGGCCCTGCTAGTCAGTGGTAGAAGGCCCAAACCCCTTGATTTCTGTGAATTTTGGTTTAAATTTCTCATTCTTAGGAGGGAGAGACATGATTGGTCCACTTTGACTAGGATGCCTACTTCTAGATCATTCAACGTGGGTCGGGGTCACACAGCTGGGGGTCTACGCTGGGTATATGTGTTGAAGCCATTTCTCCAAAAGGGGGATAGTTACGAACTGCATGCACCTGTGATTGGGATTCTTAATGCAAAGTGTCCAAGATATTCCTGACACATTTCTGACACAGAAGATACTCAATAAGTGGCAGCCATCATTACTACTATTTCAATAATGTGTTAAATTGATGCTGTTAAATTCTTGTGCAAAGGAGGGTAGGGATTTGCATGCATGACTTACATTCAGATCTCTGAAGTATTCATTGTAATCTAAGGCATAACCCACCACAAACAGATCTGGAATCTCAAATCCAACATCTGAGTAGAGAGGGGGGAGGGAGGAATAAAATTTAGACAACATAAGTAGATAAGCCACCATAAGCTATTGTTGGTACTTAAACCGTGAAGACCTTTCATTTAGGCAGACGCAAGTGGGAAAAATGATAAGCGATGCATAGGATGAGCCCACTGGGACCTGGACCAGAGTGACCAGCCAGGGAGACAAGGTAAACAAGCAAATATACCAGGAAGGATGGCTGCACGCCTACCGTACCGAGCTGAGTAAGGGCTCAGCCAGCCCAGTAGATAACAAGAAGTATGCATGACTTAGTCATGTAGCCCCACTGTTTCCAAGTGAGCGGTATCCAATGACACAATGCCAAAGGAAACACTTTGGAAGCATAAAGTGCAGTTCAAGCAGAAGGTATTCCAACACTGTGATATGTGACTAAGTGCATGGACTGTTGCAACTGGGAAGCGCTCCTCCCACTGTGCCCAATGTCCTCAGCGTGACAAAGAGCTGGAAAGCAAAACGTGGGAGACAAGATGAAGTAGGATTGTTCCGTTTGAGAAAGAGAACGCTAAGGGTTATTCTAGCCCGAGTCTTTGAATCCAGGATGCAGATGATACTAATTAACTTTCTATCTGTATTGAGGGAAGAATGGCAGTGGATTTAAATGCAATATGAGGTACTTAGGCTAACCAAGGGAAACCTTTATTGAAAGGGAGATGATTTTTATTGAGAAGGATCCTTAAGGAACAGAGAATAGCTCTCCTTCCTCAGAGGTCTTGAAACAGAATAAATGTGCCTCTGGTCCAATGAGTTTTCAAACTTTTTCCAGTTTTTTTTTTAATCTTTTTTTTAAATTACAGCATTGCAGATGAAAGATGTACTTGCTTACTTTTACGAAGCCGTACTTTGGTATAGCCAATGGTCTTACAGCACGGAGAAAGTTATCTTTCTGGCGACTACTCCCAACATTTTTATCCCTGTTGACCAGAGATGCTTTTATATGGAGAAAGCAACTGGTTCCTGCTTGCAGAAAGTGCTAGAGGGGAGGGACTTACTTTCTAGCAGATTGCATTATGTGTCACTGATAGAAAGCCCAGTTGGTCCTTCCAAACTGCCAAGGTTGCTTGAGAAAAATAATCAAAGAGGAGAAGCAAGAGTGGAAGAAAAGATGTCAGAGCATATAAAAGATGTCATTGAGCATATGAAAGATGTCATTGAGCCTATGGGAAAGAGTCCATTATGAGAAAGGAGGAAAAGTACCAAGCCTCAGAAATCCAGGAAGAAGAAACAGAGATTCGGAACCAGCTAAAAAGGATATCAGAAAATCCCAAAGAACCCTGGTTGTAACTACAATAATGACTTTACAGTGACTAATGCAATCTCTACAACAGGCATTGCAACTGGGACTGGGAAAAGCCAGTTCAAAAGGCCCAACCTTCAGAGCTATCACGGGGTGAAAGAAGGACCCGGATCCCCTGGATCAGTAGATCAGGGGACGGGTAAGGAGTCAGAGTGACCTATCTCTAGCTGGTAAATGGGTGCAGTCCCTACACTTCTATTTGCAATCGTTACTTACAGATGTAGTGTAAGAGTAAGGGCAGTGACTGGAACCAGACTGCCCGGGCTCAGTACTGACTCTACTCTTACAGCAGTGTGCCCCCTAAAAGCTGTTTAACCTTGTTGTGTCCGATTGCCTCATCCATAAAATGGGCATAACAATAGCATCTCCTTTAGAGGAATGCTGTGGGGATTACAGGGGTTAATCTCTGCGTAGCTCTTCGAAGAGTGTAGGTCACACCATAACCTCTCACTAGTGTTACCTGCTAGTATTTTATTAATGTGGCTGCCATAAATGACACACAAAAAATCTGTAATTATTTGGATATGTCTGAAGTGAATGTCTTTCAACTTCAGTTAAAATCTTATCTATACGGTATCTTACATGACATCCTTAGAAGATTTCTGTTTACTCACTTTGCCTACCCTTACTGCATCCAGATTATATTCCTTAAACCAGTAATGGGACAGAAACATCTGGCAAGAACTGACGTTGGGTCTACCTGCCCAGAACCGATGTCTAGATTTAATACATCCAGCATACGGATGAAATTTGTTTTTAGAAAAAAGAGTCACTGGCAAAATGTCATTGGCACACTATCCATCCATAGTGTGCCTCTCTTGCTCTGGTGTTTTTTCAGCTTGCTGGTGAGGACTGTAGCCAGATTATCCCAGGGGCTTTAGAGCAAATGTAAGTTATAAAAATCAAGCTGAAGTCTGCCTATGCAAGTGAAAAAAAAATTGCCTCTCATGTTAGAATAATAAATAATCAAGCTGCTTGCTTATTCTTCCTGGCATTGGAATTAATCGTATTATGGGGAGGAGGGTAGCAAAGTGTCCTAGCTGAGGAAAGTCCTCCAAAACACGTGTTTGAAGTCAAGTGTGAAGATGATATCTGGAGCTATTTGCTCTGCTAATTCTCTGTGTTATTGAGCTTTTCTTTGGAGGTGATGGGAGGTGTCTCAGATTTTCCCTTCTGTGTTATAAAATTCAGGCTTGCTGAAGGGAGGCATTGTGCATTGTCTGGTGACAGTTCTTGGAGGCAGAAAGGGAATCCTTCTAAGCCTTTACAGTGCCTTCCCCATGTCTGACTGATAGGGGCAGTGGCAGAGGTTGGGATCCCGTGTGCCAGCCAGTCCCGTGGGGTCAAGTCTCCCTCTATCCCTCGCAACCAATTAGCTAAGTCCTTTGATTTTAAGGTGCTATGGAAAACCTAAAACTAAAAATATCCAATGCACAGAGTTTCTGTGAAAACCGCAAACTGGAAAATTAAAAACCCTTGTTGTAAAGGGTTCTTTCCTCTTGGCAAGGCTGGGGAGACGTCGGGAGACTCGTGGGACTATCAAACCTTCATAGCTTCAGCTTTATGTGGAATGCTGGTGAATAGGAAACAGAGATTCTTAAACATGAAACACCACCACCCGCCAGCCAATCAACCAACAAAACCCAGAAGGACTTACAGTCAGGTCTAAAGCCATCACTTCTAGGTCTTCTCTTCACCAACAAACTACCATGAAAAAGAAAAGAAGGTGTTTAGTGATCCAGATATAACTTCTGTGAATTCCAAATTCAAAACTGAACATCATTAAAATATGTATTCCCCGCCCCCCCCGAGTGTGTGGAGCACCGTCACAGCCTTCTAATTCATGCTCCTGCTACCACGGCACCACATCAGTGATTCTAGATAAAAGGGAGAGGGACACTGGCACCAGGCTCAGCCAGCTGCTCCTGGAAGCAGCTAATGGAGGCACAGACACCCAGCAAAGCGTGCCTTCTTCCCCTTCCTCTCTCTCAGGCTACTGGTCAAATGGGCTATTTGTTCAGTGTGGTCAAACCATAACATGCCAGGGCAAAGGGTCACTGGTTTGGAATAGACTGCTCTCTTTGGAAACAGCATCCTGTGTTAGCATCCTTCTGCGGCTGATTTAGAAAGACAGAAGCAACAATGATGTGAATGTCCTACTCACCTGGCTACTTTAATCATGTTGGGCTTGTATTTCTCTATGCTACCGAGCAGCGCCTTCATGGTCCTCCCCGTTCCAACAACATCCTTTGCAAAGGGGACAGACAAATTCAACCTGAATGCATTTGGGCAGCATAATAGATTTTTCATCCAGACAGATGACTGTAGTCCTCATTAATAATGCATCACAATTAGAACTGCCATCAAATGGAGTAAAAGTAGGAAGCAGGGTTGGTTATATTTTTTAGACAGGTGCCTCTCTGTGAAGCTGGGTTTAGGGGAATATATTGGTGAATTATTTCCTCTTGGAATCCTTCAGCTGTGTTGAAAGCTAGGTTCGGCCTTTGGAGAGCATGTGGGACTCCTTACTGAGTACATTTGGACTCGTGCATGCACATTCAAGGACTAAATTTGGCCCTGAGGTTATGCGCAACACAATACGGGACGCATGAATTTTCATGGACATGGGATGTACATCTGAATACACTGAATGGATAAACAGCTCCCCCTTGCCCTCCCCAGTCAATAGGGGATTCTATGGCTGGGAAGTGAGATGTGTCTGGACGGCAGCTGGTGACAGCCTGTGAATTCTGAGGGTGCAAGGCTGCAGTGAGCCTCAGCTCATCTCTGCTGATGAGCTGCTACCCAATCAGAGGAGAATGGGCAGCAGAAATGCATTGTCCTTGGGACAGAAATCAGCTGTCAGGAGCTGATTATCAAAACAACAGGTCTGAATTTAGCCAGGGTTGGGCAATTCGTTTGGCTGGAGGGTCTACTTCACGGGTGATGCCCGAGCCAGGACGACTGCAGATACATATGGCACGCACAGGCGATTGTGTAACAAAAGCTTGAAAACAGCTCCCTTGAATTTTTGCCAGCTGATAAGACAGGCGTGCTCTTGAAGGAAAAGTGGCCATTTGCTGAATTAGTCCACTGCTGCTATGGGGCCCATTCTCCATTTTTTTTTTTTTTTTTTTTTTTTTTTTTTTTTTTTAGCAGAAAAATTAAATTCTCGCTTTCTCTTGGATTGCCATTTTAAAATTGATTGTATTTATCCTTTGGTTGCTGAAGCAGAATTGTTTGAAGTCATTGGAGGTCATTGGCACAAACAATGAATCAAGGGTGAAAAGAGTTCAAATCCTGGTTTTACTATTAAACACATTTGGTTGTGTTGGGCTCGTTTCCTCTTCTGTAAAAATGCCTGACTTGCAAGTAAGTATAAGAACCAATTCAGACATAAAAACGGATAAAGTACCACACAACTATTACCGCAAAGCTCTTTTTCTAAATTGTTTCAAGCCACTGATTCTAGTTGGTTCGTAGGCAGTAAATTTGGAGAGCCACGTGCACAGCGGAAATTCAACAAATCCTTGACCAATTTGATAATAAGTTCTATACTTTGAAACTCACCATTAGATTCTTTCATCTAACAAATACGGGTAAGGAAAAGTCAGCTTACCTCAACAATGAGGACATTCTGAAATTAAAAACAAAACAAAACAGTTATTTAGAATATGATGCAAATCTGGCTCACAAGAGAAACACACATTTTTGCTTAAAGTTAGGAGTTTCACAATTTGCTGAGCTGGCCCTCCACCATCCATCTAACCCAAATGCTTGGAGGTAATCTGGGTATTCCAGATTCATTCGAACACTCTCTCGGCCATTACCTGATGCTGCAATATTGGTGTCTACATTCAAGGGAGCAGCAAGGTCATCTCAGGCCCTATGCCCTGTCTGAAGAGCTACCCACAAGGTCATCCCAGGTCCATAATTCTGGCAAGCAGCCCCATCCAGAATTCTTTGGCATACAAAGTGTACTAAGAGTTTACCAGGAAAACAAGCCACATAAACTACATTGTTAATGGAGACAGTGCTCTGCAGAAGAATCATGGACTCTGCCGGGGGCAGTCCTAACCCTGCGTCGCCACCAGTCATTGAGGATTCTGTATTTATTCTCAAATGTTCAACCTTGAGGAAGGGGTGGGCCAGAGAGAGTGCTGTGAAGTGCCTGACTGATGTTTTTAGAAACATGGTTGGGTTGCTTGTTATGTGCTATCGAAGCATACCTCTCCTTTTCCCCTAAAAACATTATGTTTCATTTCAATTCCTGTTTGACACCTGCCTGCCCACTAATATAAACTCCATGAGGGTAGGAATCATGTTTGTCTTGCTTACTATTGTATTCGCAGCCCCTAGCATATATACCTGCATATAGATGCTCAGTAATTTATTGAGTGGAGGAATAATAACCGATTATACTGGTTAATTAATTAAAACTGACTAATGAAATGGATTTGTAGTTACATGTCAATACTATCTCACCAAATTAAAATGTGACTGTGCTAATATGACATTGCAATGAACTAAATGGTGTGGATATTCCCTCAACGTAATGTTGTCCTTCTTTACATAACTCTTCATTTATCCCTATGATTCATATAAGACTTTAACAATCCTATCAAGCCTTCCACCTTAGAAATCTTACTTATGTCTAATGCCAGAGAGATTTAAGTAATGAAAATGTTAATCAACCAACCCAACTCACATTACTTTATGTGTCCAACGCTTCTTAGAAGGAAGTATCTTTCTAGAAGTGATTTTCTCCCAGGTATAGTATTTTTAGTCATTAAATGCATTACAAAATCTTGGTTTTATCATTAAAATGTAAAGTTATCGTGTCCATATCCCCTAGCCTAAGGATCACAGGAACAGAGAAATCCCCTTGGTATTCTGAGCACATTTGCTGTGTTCTTAACAATTAACCCGTAACAGTTAGTTAGGATGTGCATTTTTAGTTTGATTGACGCTTACCAACCATGCCTATTAACCAACCTGAATACTTGGAGAATACTTGGTTAATTTGATTCCTTAGCTCATAATCTTTTTTTGTTTCAATCTAATAAGGAAAGGCCTTTTAAAACTCTGTTAGTCTGCATTCTTGCCTAATTAAATAAAGTGCACTGAACATAATTAAATCTGTTTTTTAAAAGCTTAGAACCTTGCAAAACAAGAGTCATCTTTGAAAACATTTAGCTATAAGATACAGTGGTGGCTGGGAAGTGAGACTTGAATGTATGTACTAATCCAGAAATATATTGTCAAAATTGCTTAAACATATTTTAAAAGCAAGGTAATGCATATACATATTCAAATCAAATAGAAAAGTCAAAGGTTTTCTAAATGTTGATGTGCATCTAACTGTAAAGTATTTAAAATGCTTATGCACTTTATGTTAAAGTTATCATGGCATTCTGTGTAATGCAGAGCCACAATACTGTCACATCTAACAAAAATGACAATAATCTATTTTGTTTTTTCATTTGATCCAGTTTTATATAGTTTTATACATTTGATCCAGTGACATACACTGTATAACTTTAAGGTGTATAGTATAATGCTTTGACTTATATACTATTACTAAATAATTACCTAAACAAATTTAGTTAGCATGCATCATCTCATATAGATACAATAAAAGAAGAAAGCAAAAAAGGGAAACATTTTTTTCCTTATGATGAAAACTCTCAGGATTTATTCTCTTAACAACTTTCCTGTATATCACAGAGCAATGTCAGCTACAGTCATGATATTGTACATTTCATCCCTAGTACTTATTTATCTTATAACTAAAAGTTTTTACCTTTTCACCACCTTCCCCTGATTTCCCTGCCCCCCACCCCCACCTCAGGTAACCACAAATCTGATCTCTTTTTCTATGAGTTTGGTTTTGTGTTGTTTTGTTTTAGATCCCACATGAAAGTAAGATCACACAGTATTTGTCTTTCTCAGTCTGATTTACTTCACTTGGCATAATGCTCTCAAGGTCCATCCATGTTGTTGTAAATGGCAGGATTTCCTAGTTTGTTATTCCAGTGTGTGTGTGTGTGTGTGTGTGTGTGTGTGTG